TATATATATATATATATATATTAGTTCGCCGATTTGAGTTTTTAATTCGAGTTGAAATGTAATTTTATGTGAAAGTTTTTAACTGTAGTAAAAAAATTAGGGGCATGTTCTTTTATCCAAAAAACTCAAAAAAAGACAACTCAAGTTTCAACTTTATTCAAGTTTACGTTCTTTTAAGTTTTAACTTTATTCAATTTTACTCAACTTTATTCAAGTTCTAACTTCAACTCAAGTTATAACTCAAATTCAACTCAAAAATTACACTCAAGTTATACTCCAAAAGAACAACTCCTAGATGTGACTTTTTATGAGAGCTTTTAACTGTAGCAAAATTAAAATTAAAAACTCGAATCGGTAAAATGTATATATCAAATTAAAGTGAAGGAGTCTATTGGGGAATGTACTCGACTGCTCTGAAAATGAAATAAAGGTACAAATTAATGATGCATGATGCACAAGTGGAATACCTTCTCAGCTAATTGAGACAACGGATTCCCACTTTGTGTTTTGATTAGCAAATAATAGATTTATATTACTAGAAAAAGAAAATGGCTTGCTCATTTAAGAGAATATTAATATTTGGCTTTTTAAGTACTCATCTAAGTTTAGTGTTTCACTTCTTAATAATCAACCTTTAAAAATGCGTAGCTTAATATAGGAATGAAGTCTCTATAATATCGACATTCGTACTTAAAATCATAAGCTAGAATTCATAATCAAAATCATATAAGCCAACTTATATGATTGGTCATATATTAACTAAGATTTGGAATATGTACGTATATATTCCTACAAATAATATATTTATGAACGAAATGTATTTAGATGAATAAAGCAAAGACGTTTCGTGATTTTCAAAATCTATATTTGGTTATTATTTCATTTTCATGGGAACCAACATATATGACTTTTCATTTTATATCATTTTCATGATTACGATAGACTCAATTATATATATTAAAGGAGAGGTGAGTGGAGACTAATGCAAAGTGCTCATATGCGCAAATCTACTAGGATTAACCATACATGTAAATTGACTGAATTAGACGTATATCGTACGTACGTTTGTGTACGTACACAGTGACGGATTTAAGTACAGTTCAATGGGGGCTACCGCCCTCACTCAAATTATTTTGAAAAATAATATTACTATTAAAAATTTTAAAATTTTACACTTAAACCCCACTAAAATAAAATGTTCTCACTAAAATAAATATGTTTTCTTATATGCCCCTACTAAGATAATTTGTTAAAAAAAATTTTAGTGTACGCCACCACTGAAGTGAAAAGATGATTATGCTATTGGGCGCATGTATATACATATATATATATATATATATATATCCACGTTTATCAACACCAACTAAAAGTTAAAGCATTCATCCACACTACCAATCCTAACAAAAGTTGTGGTTAATTAATAATTGAGTTGAACATCATTTTAAAAAAAAAAAAGGACAAAAACACATTTCTTGACAAAATCGTAAGATCGTGTATTGGGGCTGACGCATGCGCAGTGGCGGAAGGTAAACACAAATAATCAATCGATGCCATAGATAGTTTTTTTATTTTTTTATTTTTTTGAAAATTATATAGGTTTTGTTGTAATTAAAGTTACTTCATCTTAATTATTCATAGCATATATATAGCGAGCAAAAGCTAGTGGATCTTTTCTTAATGATAATATTGTACGTGTTCTGAAAATGAAATAAAGGTGTAAATGATCCACTACTTGAACATCTTGTCTCCCCTCTGATCAGCTTCTAATATTTCAGCCACCAAAATCCCCACTACCTTTCCTTTCCCGATCGATATCGACAATTAATGCACAATCTCTATTATTAGAGGAGAAATTAATGGCCGTATTTGTAATTAATCCCGTTTTTATTTTTCTTATTTTTCGAGAAAGAAAAAATGAAAACGCTTCTAAAACAGCGTTTGGCGTAATAAAGACAAAAAACCGGAAATGAAAACGATTTTTTTAATTTAGTGTAAAATGAGAGAGAAATGAAAAACAACTTTTAGTCATTTTTTATTTTTTGTTTTCGTTTTCTCCTCTCTCGAGCATAGAGAGAGGCACTAATATATTTTTTTTATACTGAAAACAATCTCTTGATAAAACTACCAAACGCATTTTTAAAAATGATTTCTGTCTGAGATTGAAAATGTTTCTGTTTTCATTTTCATACAAAAAATAAAATCATTTTAGACGCGCTCAATATGGCTCACTCATGATTAAGTCAAATTAAATTCTCTGGCTTCTAGCCTTCTACATACTAATTAAGTAATTTGGTCATGATAAACAACTCTTACAAAATGTTATAATTAAATTAACCGAATGGGTAGTGTTCGATTTGTTAGGGGTGACCCACTATCCTTATATGTCTGTAGTTATGATTATGTTTAGACAACGTGGGATTCGAGTGTTTTACCCTTATCACGATTATCCATTCTCGTGCATAAAAACACTTGTAGGAATGTTTAATTTTATTTAAATTTGGCAGATTGTACCAATATAAAATCAAGCGTACAACTATTGTTAAGCTATTTGTGCAAACACGTTAATAACAAGATAAATTGCAGAATAAGATGTTATTTAAACCAAGTGCATGCAATATTAATCCAATATTGAAAGGGAGAGAGATGGATGAAAAGACAATACTAATATTATAAAAATAAAAAATAATAAATGATGGCAACTTTTAGGTGCTATAATGATTCAATTATTGGGAAGTCGTGCAAAACCATGTACTCCAATCTCCAATTTTCTATTATAAGATTTCTTTGGTGACATATCCACTTAGTTTATTTTCTCTAATTTTCTATCCTATCGTATTTGGTAGGTCTTGTCGTTTAACATGCAATAATACACTTGAATAATATTCCCCTTATCTTAATCACTTTATCATTCCCCTTAAAATATTTAATTTGTCTGCTCACGTTGGGTTGTTTAGTTGGGGGATTCGTACCCCGATTCGAATCATGGTTCATGGTTCGCTACAGTGTTTTTTCTCACAAAAAATACACGTAAATAAAAAATAATTCTAATTCATGAACCAAACGTCTCCGAAATGTCTGTTTTTATCACAATATATTGAATTTGGAGAGAGCAGTAAGTGGGTTTAATTAGTGGAAACAAGCTTGAATTTTCTTCCAATATTATTTCATCAAATAATTAAATTATTTCCTTGGAAAGATCCTAAATAATCGATCCTCCACTTCCATATAGCCTTTGGTCATTCCTAAAGGATCATGGCTTGTTTTTCCTTCGTAATATGATAAAAGAAAAGTGACGAAGTAGTGATTTATCGAATTTGTGCCAAGAAAATAATTTGAATTTGAAAATAAGAAAATTCCCCACATGAAAAGTTTGGCCAAATTTGATAAGAGTACTATCTAAGCATGATAAAGACTTGATATTCAAATTTATATCCAAGTTCCTGGATATCTTGTTATAGTCTTATAGATCATAAAATATCATATAA